TGAAGAAGTCTCTTGGAGGAGAGACGAAACGTTTCATTAAAGAAGAACCCGTCCAGAGGACCTATACAATTTTTTTTTCCTTCGTTTCACATTAAACGTGAGAAATGTGAGACGATTTTGGGAATGTTTTATGAAATGTGAAACCAAGTTGTGACTGATWAAAGACAAAAACAAGACATTATTAAGATGCTTTGTGAAAATAGTGACCTTATAAAAAAACATGTAGTTTGCAGTTATGTCACCTGAATGCTGTAATTTATTCTCAGTTACATACAGGGGTTGGACAATKAAACTGAAACACCTGTCATTTTAGTGTGGGAGGTTTCATGGCTAAATTGGACCAGCCTGGTGGYCAATCTTCATTAATTGCACATTGCACCAGTAAGAGCAGAGTGTGAAGGTTCAATTAGCAGGGTAAGAGACCAGTTTGGCTCAAAATATTGTAATGCACACAACATTATGGGTGATATACCAGAGTTCAAAAGAGGACAAATTGTTTTCTGATAGTTCTCAAGCTTTGATTAATTATCTGAGATTGGCTCGATTATTTGATAGTGTATGAGTTGATTGATTTACTGATTGATTGATTGATTGATTGATTGATTGATTGATTGATTGATTGATTGATTGATTGATTGATGTTTTGTTTAATTATTAATAAGTCATTTCAGTCCACACTCCTTTCCAGTTGGTGGCGGTAATGCACACCTAAAGTTTTTTGCAAACCGCCAATAAACCCTATATAGAAGAAGAAGAAAAAGGACAAATTGTTGGTGCACGTCTTGCTGGTGCATCTGTGACCAAGACAGCAAGTGTTTGTGATGGATCAAGAGCCACGGTATCCAGGGTAATGTCAGCRTATCACCAAGAAGGACCAATCACATCCAACAGGATTAACTGTGGACACAAGAGGAAGCTGTCTGAAAGGGATGTTATGGTCTAAAACCAGGTGTTTCAGTGTCATTGTCTGACCCCTGCACATTGACAGATGTGCTGTAGTTACCAATTTAGCATGACACCAAGTGAACGTTTTTGTATTTTCTTGCAAATCTGTGACTCCAAACAAGTCAATATCATTACCCAGTGTGGAACAGCCTCTAAAATGCTAAAGGCCCTGTCACACTAGATAACTTATGCCAACTTATGAACATTTTAAAGACATCTACATTGAAGGTGGAATTGAAAAAAAATCATCAGGAAGCTTCTTTTCATCATGTACATAGTGTAATTCAACCATATTGGTCAAACGTGTGACCTTTATTAACAATTTAGACATAAAAAATGTTTCATAAGATGGCTAGTGTGACAGGGCTTTTAGCCACTTTAACCTGCCTATTTCAGTATTCTAACATACAGTGGTATTGTTTTCATATCACATACAATTATCTCCTAATTACCTGGAAATTCTTTGAATGGCCAATATTTTTTGTTTCAGTGACATTAAGACATTTACAAACACAAGATTATAATACTAAATATTTAAATAGAGGTGATTCAAAGACATATAAACTATTAATTTGAACAATTGTAAGTACATGGAGATGGAAGACGGAAAAATGCAGTCAAGTTGTTACAAGCTAACATGTCCTCCAGTCCTCTGTCCTTTCAAACATGGGTTCAATTATTAGCCTTTCATAAAAGATAAACTGAGATTGGCTCCCATGCAGCTACGTTTGCTTCATGACACAACATGCAGCATTTTTTCAGGCTGGATGACTTACAGTAACTCATCAGAGTGAGTCAAATGCAATCAGGCAAATTGCCAATCACACAAATTCAAAATAACGAGTTGTTAATTATGATTGTAATTTCAAGTACCCTCCTAATAATTTGAAACGACACCGAGGCAGTGTTTGGGTAAAAGCTGAAACAACTGCTGATTGGGGAACACTGTAAACCTGTGCCTGTGTTTTCTGTTATGTGTGTCACCATTACTACATTAGGTTTTTATACATCTATAGATATTTCGTCATCCACGTTTGCAGATTCATATCCGACAGCCAGTATGTGTCTTGATGTCTGCGTGCATTTGGAAGTGGGTGAAACAACAGTGCGGTCAGGAGGCTTGTCTGCTCTGTACGAATAATCAAAGCGGTCTCTCTCATCATTAAATCATGGCTGCCCTGGTGGGAGCCTGAGGAGGGAGACACAGGGAGTGAGTGAGGGATCATAGTTAGCGCTGCAGGGGGAACATGCTCTCCCCCTCTCCTCCGTTGTGTACTGGAGCTGAGATGTGTCATGAGCACAAGTCTTCTCTGCTCTCTGCGCTCGCCCACTTAGCTCCCCCCCAAACACACACTCGTACATATGCACACAGAGGGAAAAAAAACACTTCAGCTCACAGATATGTTACTCTGGAGTGTACAGACATTCACACACTGACTCAGACACACAGACTGCAGCTTACTTCTAGGAAGAGGAGACCTCTAACCATCGCTGTGCAAATGTCTGCCACATGTAACTGCCATGATAGTTCAGTTCAGTGACACAGTGTTCACTACAGCAGCTCTGCSCCACACTGGGAAAAAGGCCACTCCAAAAATAAATACAAATAAATGAGTACATTACTTTKTTTTGTTTGTGGCTTGATATAAACAAAACATCTGCCAACTGAACAAGTGAAAATAAGTTGACAAGATTAAAAATAAGGCAAATCATTCAAGCTTCATAGGATAAAAGGAATCTTGAAATTAGCTGCAAAAACTCATTCTGAGCAATATTTTACTAAAATTAAAAGCTTCTTGTGTCTCATAATGAGGCTGCAATGCACAAAAGTAGCATCCTTTCCCTCAAAGGTAGCATTTTTTTTACCTTGCATGCCATCCTCTTGGTTAAAAAATTATTTAAACTCATATCGCT